CTACCTTTCTGGTTTTTTTTGACAATATAAAGTATTATAAAAGCAAAGTTAAGTTTAAAAGCTAAACCTAAAACAGGTTAATTGAGAAAATCATAGTCTTTTCCTATATTTTGAGGTTATGAAGCCACCATCTGCTACATGGTGTTTAATTCTAGACCTCAATCTCAAAGATGAAACATATCTTAGATGCACAAGGGAAGAGGTTATAAAGATGACAGAGTATCTGAGAGGCATGAGCTACACACTCACTCTTGTTCTAATTAGAGCTCCTAAATAATGAAGAACAGATCCAGGCCACAGTATTTTACTCAAAGACCAGCTGATTGTGCGTCCTGGGGAAGTTCCTTATCAAGTAGGATCAAGTGATCTCCCTTAGTCCAAGTCCTTTACCTATGTTCCTTCCCACTGAAGTAGAACACAGCTTTAAATGCTGAGTAAAAGGTTTCTGAGTCACAGATACACTTCCAAATATTGTTTTGATCTTAGGTAGTTCATTTGTCCTCTCTGGGTCTAAATATATTTTGTAAAATCACAGCCTGAGATTTTACAATCTATTTTAGTTCTGATATTCTGTGACCACACAAATGATGTATTGAATCAAACTCTAAGTCTGTTCACGGTGAAGAATCATGATAATTTGAGACTTTTAGAGCTAGGAAGCTATTGGCTTCTCCTATCATTTAGGTCCTGACTGTCCCAGCCACAGTACTTTTGGGAGGTAGTGGAACCTTTAAGAGACAGGCCTAGTGGGAAGAATTTGGGTCACTCGTGCATGTCCTAGAAGAAAATGTAACCCCAGCTCCTCCGTTTGCCTCACACCCAACATGAGGAAAACAGGCTTCCTCTATCATGTGTCCTCCATGATGCACCTTGTTGCTACAGGTCCAAAGGAATGGAGCAAAGCCACTGTGAATTGAGACCTTTGAAATCATGTGCCACCACAAACCCCCCAGCTTTTTGTGTTTATTATCTCAAGTATTTTGTCATAACCTCCACACGAGTTACATTATACATATTACTTTTTCTTTACCTAATTGCTAATAAATACATTTGGTCAATGTTGCTCTTAAATACTATGCCTATAGTGTGAAAATTGTTCCTACTACCCTTGTAATGTAACTCTCTCCAGCAGAATTCTTCCAAGAACACCCCGCTGAGCTATCTTCCTCTGGGCCTGCAGTCTGCATACACAATTAACCTTCCTTTAATTAGATTAACTTGTCCTTTACCTGGAATTGTCAAATTAATACTGTAATCAAAGATCTCTCTATCAGAGATCTGAGTGTGTCCCTGCTATGTGTAATGTTAATTACTTCTTTCTAAAAATAAGGGAAATTAGGCTCACATAGTGGGAAACCTTAGTTAGCAGGACTGGTTCTGTCTCTAAAATAGTGCCCATGAGAACTTCATAAACAATTCTGAAAAATCTAAAGAAATCTTGATGCTTCCGGCTGTTTTAACTGATGAAGTTCCAAGAATGAACCAGCAGTTTAGGTCATGTGAAATAGTTATGTGAAATAAAATATAGGCCCTGGCATTGGCCCAAATGTTAAAGCTTGTACAACATAGCATACAATCAAATTTTATCATTTATAACGAATCAAACTGCATTTGCCAAAACAAGCAAAGCCCACAGCTCTACAACTCACAATACTAATATGCTCATCCCACATACTTGTGAAATTTGGGTATTTTAACTGTAGTTGGCTAGCATTAGCTTGATCCAATTATGAAGAGTGACACTGACAATTACATGAAGAGGAAATCTCACTTAACCAAATTTAGTAAACTTGGATAATGGCCCCACAGCAAAATATTGTGAACTCTTCACTACAGAGTAGTGTACTCAGCATTAACAGTATTTTAAATATTTCACAGTGTTCGCAATCAGTCATTCATTAAATGCCCAGGATGTCAGAGCACTCTTTTCAACTTTGTGAGAGATAGAAAAATGCCTAAGAAGGCATATATCCTTCTTTCAAAAAGCTGATACTAATGGACAGAGAGGAATTGGCAGGCAAGCAGAAGCCTGATGTTTTGCCATGTAGTTAGATTGTTTTGATCTTCTCAATTTAAAGCACTCAGGGATCATCTTTAAAAAGTGGTGATGGCTGTCTCTGGAGTTCTAGCTACATTTGCATTTTGACATTACAACTGCTAGTGTGACGAGGCAAGATAGTACTTAGTTTCTCTAGTTCTCGTCTCTCGTCGTAACATAGAAATAATAAATTTTAGAACTTAGAGATTTGTGTAAGTGGAATGCAGCATGCATTCAGTGTGCTTTGCATGCAGTGTGCAATAAAAATAAAGGTTAAATATATTTAAGAGATAAAGGATACACTGAACAAAAAGCTGTCTTTTGTTTTGAACGAGTAAGAAGTAAAATATTTTGTAATGTGTTACCCTTAGATGCCTCTGTTCAGGAGTGATGCATTATATTCATGTACTACAAAGGGGAAGAAGAGATCCTAATGTGTGGCTCTAAAACATCAGTAGGTGTTGAGCTTGTGATCTTAGACATATGGAAGACAAAGCAATTCGGGTAATACTGATTAAATGTATTGCCCTGAATAAAGTATACTGAGTTTTACCCAGTTGTTTGACATATCTTATGCTTTTTTTAGGGACAGCATGGAAAAGACAGGATTAGAGAGGGCTGGGTAGATTTGTTAAGGGGTAGAAAGTCATAAAAAAGTTGTTGGGGGTATGTAAATATTAATTTAAAAGCACTCTTGGGCCTGGCTCAGAGCTCTGTCTTTTGTCGGGGGAAAGGTCAGGGTGGTTTCGGTTGGGATTCTTGCTCTGACTCATTACTTGTGAGAGGTTTTTATCTCCTTGACCAAAAGTTTTTTGTTTTTTTTTTTGTTTTTTTTATCTCTGATGGGACTATATGTGGATAATATGTAAAACCATTTGCTTTATGTTTTGTAATACTAAGGGCTCAACAGTCCTATCAAGAGTAACAGTGCTTCTTTTAATTTAATTTCACTTGCATGACAAGATGAGGTGGCAATGGTGTTTTGATTTTCACTTACCTTGGAAATGCAGGTAGATGGAAAGGATTTCATCAGTGTAGTTATTCTATTTCTTGTACAGAGACACCTCTATGATTCAGGTGACTATCTTTTCTCTAGAAGTTGAACTACTAAAATGTGTTGCTTAATTCCACTTTGAAATATGTCTATAAATGGGCATATAAGTTCCCGATAGTCCAAGTGTCAGTGACAGTAATGTCTAGAGACTAATTGTTCACCTCTTCCTATGTGGCATACGATGTTCTAAAGCACTTTTTATGTATGAACTAATTTAATCTTCACAATAGCCATCAAAGTCTGTACTATTGTCATCTCTCTTTTACAGATGACAAATCTTTGTCATAAACTTCAGTAGACATAAGGTGATAAGTAGCAGGGAATCCAGGCATGTATTGGTCTCAAATCTACACAATCTACTCCTCATAATAGAACTAATTTGTCCTGAAGAAACAATGTTCTAAATGAAAATACATTTGAAATATTTCTAGTAGCATTACTTTGGACAAACAAAACTAAACAGAAAACAGAAACATCATTTGAATTATTAGTTGTATGGGAATAAGCATTTTGGACATGCAAACAACTGTTTTTTTAAATGGATTCTGAAATATAATGTACTCAGAAAATGGGAACTTATTCTGTACAAACTGCTGAAGCATAAAAAGAATGATCAGTATCATAAGATAGCCATGAACAAAGACACACAGAAGTTCGGAAGAAGATGGTGGTTTTGGCTGAGGGTATCAGAGAATGCTTTATGGAAAGAGTGAGCTGAATCTTAACATATAAAAGTTATTTAATAAGAAGCCAAAAGGGAAACAGGCTGAAGGCTTGAAGTACATTTCCTACAATTTTCATCCCTCTTATTTAATTCCTATCTTATTTGACTTCAGTAGCACCTTGATTTTGAGAGGACCTTTTGATACCATCTTCACCTGCAGATGTTTTCTTTTTTTCAGCCAGGAGAAATATCAACTCAAAAATGAAATAAACTGTGATACAGAAGGTGATATTCTTTCTTTAGGCTGGGAATCCAGAATTTTAGCAAATAAGTATATTTTAAGAAGTTAAAGAGCTTTAAACTTTATATTTAGAAATGTTAATTAAAATCACTTGAGTTTATTTTATAATTCACTGCAAGTTAACTAGAGAATAATACTTAAATGGTATGTCAATAAATCAAATATCTTAGACAAATAGCACAGGAGTTGTTTATTTTAAAGAATTATCTTTTAAAAGATTAGAAGCACACTGTTAAACTGCAATGGGTAAGGAAAATATACTTAATTGAGGATTTTAACGAGAACCATTATTATGATAGATGAAATTTTTATATTGGATAAAAAACATATAAGGTAACAGAGCTATGTTGATATCAAAGCACTTGCCATAACAGGAAACAAGTGTGTCACATGATAACCTGTTATTGTTGAACAGATCAGACTTTTAAAAATTGGCCAACATATTTGCTAATCTGTTTTCTCACTTCATTTCCTCATTAACAATAAATGGCTCCATGGCATCCAGAAGAACCAAAATAAAGTAGGTAGGCGAGACCACTGCCGGGGGCTAATAATTTCATAGCAGCAGCAGCTACATGCAATCAACACTTACATCTATAGGCATCTGCCACTCCAATTCAAAACTTTAACCCATTGTTAGATCTTTTCACAGTCATGCCTAAAATTGCCTAAAAATAGAGCTCTCATTGAAAGGTCATTTCCTAGTTCCATTATTTTGAGTACACTGTAATTTCATTTATAAATTAAAAGCCATCATCAATAGTAAAGAATAAATTTAGTGTATTTTAGGACAGGAATATTAGGTAAATAGAATAAAATGTTTGAATGATGTATTCATCTGTCAATTTTAACCAATACTTGCTTAGTGGCAGCTCTACGTCAGGTACTATATTAGGTATCAGGATCCGAAGAAAGGAAAGGTTAAAATGTGTTGTGAACTCACTTTGCGTTCGCCACCGTAGGCGTTTGCAGACACAGTGCCTGGCCCCAAGAAGTTTAACACCTAGACAGAAAGAAAAACAACAATTACTTTAAAAAACATTTGAAACCCTGCATTGTCTTCAACATATTACGTTTTTCTCCAGCCACTTTTAAGGAGGATTGAGACAGAGGATGAAATGCAAGAGGGTTAATGAGAATCTGGTATCAATTTTAGGAACAGTGTTCTTTAATTGAAATGGTGAAATGCCAGAAACCAGCTTGGGAATTTCTTTTGTCCACAGGCTATAAAACACTGAATAATGATATTGCTTAAAATGGTGAATTGATACCATCATATTTAATATCAGGTGACTAAATTGATTTCTTATTACCTCTATTTCATCAGTCCACTGAATGTTTTGGTTTATTTGTTCCTAAAATTATAATCGTATATTTCAAAATATTCAACCTTTGGTCCTTGTAGAAATGATGCCTCTTAAATTGTTAAGGGGATCACTTAGATTCCACAACCAAGCTAAAGAAAACCTGTATCTTTCTTACTCAGCCTGAGATCAATCAGTGTGAAAGAATTCCAAATCTTATAACTACTCATTTTATGTAAAACCATCTTTTTAATTAAAAGAACCACACTTCTGAAACACAGCAAAGGGCACACTGCCTTAAATTATCAATAGAATTACAGATGCACTTGAGCACCTGTCATTTGGTTCTGCAGCTGGCAGTGAGTACTGAAAAACAATCAGTACTGAACAAATTGCTCTGGATGGAGCGGGTAGCGAGTCACGAGGAAATCTACGTAAGTTCTAGCTGCAGGTTTAGTGTAAACAAATGACAAGTAGCGGGACAAAGTATCCATGTCAAAATGAATGCATTGAGTACAAATTCAATGAGTTTGAAAGCAGCTGAATACCAAAGTATGACTATTTTACAAGATCTAAGGTCTATCCTACTGCTTCTTGTTGGTCTTACATTTTCAGAACCACTTCCTTCTGCTGTGAATGCTTCTCAACTCATAATGTGTTTGACTTTTAGCACTGCTTCTGCTCCCAGCAAAACTGTCATCTGTCACTGACAACTTCCCTTGACATCCTGCCCCTTCTGAGTTTCAAGAGATGAATCTTTTGGATGCTCCAGCACTTATGTGCTTCCCTCACCTACTCTATCACATTACGCTGCACCAGGGCAACTGGCTAGAAGTTTATCAGCACTCTTCGCTCTTCCTTCTGTACAACAGCCGGACTGCATTCTTTAGTTAGATGTGTCTGAGTGGCTGCATGTTTCGCAAGGAAATAGAGTCTTAAAACCTTTTCAAACATGATTTTTCATTCCAAGTGGGCTCCTTGCAGATTAGAGGACAGAAGATCCAGAACCCTGAGAGAGACGGTCCTGCTGCCAGTTTTCAGGATTCCCCTTCACTTGCACTGCAGCCATCTATTCCTCCTGGAGTGTTGTGGAGGTGACAATATGCTCCACCAACCCCCTTTTTTTTGGTACCGGGGATCGAACTCAGCACCTTATGCTTGCCAGACAGGCACTTGTGCTGCTGAGCTATATCCCCTGCAAAACAACAGGTTTGGGTTTAAAGGAAGGGAGAAAACCGATTTGAGTTTAATCCTATTTTTTTTTTCCTTTTCGTACCAGGAATCAAGCTCAGGACCTTGAGTTTGCCAGGCAAGTGCTGTGCCACTGAGCTACATCCCTGGCCCTCCACCACCCCATTTTGATGAGGAGGTAGCACTAGAGATTTATGAAAAATGAGAATTGAATATCAGTTCCTTGTGTCATTAAAATGTTGGGTATTTGGAGCTCTTAACCAAAGCATACTGTCACTGTTGAATTTGTTTGATCTCTTCTATTAGACTGTAATCTATTGTATTCCCACTGTGACTATTTTAGTCCTGAACCAGATTTAATCTGAGACCCTAACACAGTAAATAACACATAATGACCACCTCTCTCTCTTTTTAATAACTAAAATTTTGTATAGTAAAATGTACCATAAAAATTTTTAGGAAATATTATTCTAAGTACAGTGATTCTTTTGGGGGAAAGTGCAAAGCTTTATTTAGCCCAGGCGTCAGAAAACCTTTTGTTAAATGCCTTAAAGGTAAATCTGATTTTGCTTAGGAGCTCAAAGCAACTGGAAACCACGAAACAGTTACACAGAATGGTGTTTGTAAGCTTCTGTTTGCAATTTATTTGTTAGGTAGTGATAGTATTGCAGTCTCAGCCAGAAGGAAGGGTCTCCAAAGATCCTCGCTGCAGTTCCGATGATTTGGAATGTCCTTCCAACCTCTACTGGGGATTTAATGCGGATGGAGAGAAAATGAAAGGTAATTTTCTTTCCTTTTCAAAACAATAACCAATCACAGACTCAAGACCTTCTGCTCCTCACATATTACAATGAAATAGCTTTTGAAGTAGAGACAAAAATAGAGACATCTGACAGGCAATATCAAGCCTCAGCCAGCATGCTTGCACATATTTATTACAGCTACCATCTTGTTCACTGTCGTGCTGTTATATTCAAAACGTATGTCCACAGCCTCCTTTTTGGCAACCACCCGTTTGAGACCACTTCTATTTTTTTTTTTTTTTTGGTTTTTCTCCGGTACCGGGAACTGAACTCACGACCTTGCGCTTGCCAGGCAGGCGCTTTGCCGCTGAGCTAAATCCCCAGCCCCATGAGACCACTTCTAAAAGGTGCCTTCATACATCTCATCCATCTGTCCCTTTACTATAATCCACTTGCTACTTAAATTTAGTCTTGCTTAGTACAACTTTGAGAGATATACTTCCTCCACTTTCAGTTCTAAGAAAAAGGAAAAAAAAGAAAAAACAGAGAGGTAGTCAGATCTCCTTGCTTTGTTACTAAGGGAAGAAGAGGAAGGTTTTTAATGCCAGACACACAATTGAATTGACATAGTAGCTGTATATATTTATGGGTACATTGTGGCCTTTCAATGCATTATGATCAGCTGTGGCATGTCTGTCATCCCTGAAACATATCATTTCTCTGCATTGAGTACAGTCAAAATCTTCTCTACTAGTTGTTTTGAAATATTCAATTAATCATTGTCAGTTACTCTACTTAGAAGATGGGAAGTTATTCCTCCCAAGCATGCACCTGTATTCATTAAACATTCCCTCTCCACACCCCCACCCTCTGACCTGATATAACACATACTTAACCTCCGTTTCACAACTCATTGGGATGATTGTTGAATGTCACCTTCAGGCTAGATTTTACGCTAAACACTTACTTTCCTTGAGGTTTATTTCTGTGGCTAACTTTATTCTTAAACATTAAAGCTCTTGATTATCAAAATAGTATGTAATTTTGAAACAGGTTCTACCTGAGCAAAAACAATTGTGACCTTTTAAAAGTAGCCTGAAACTGCATATTAAAGAGAATTTATTAGCACGATTTCATTGTGGTTTATTTAGAGTTGTTTACTCATATTTTTCTTTAGTTGTTCTCATGTTTTTATAGTTTCAAGTGTACAAAAAGCCCTTGCACTACATATAACATATAAGTGAACTTTTAGGAAAAAAATAAAATTTGAAATACCTAAAGGAGTATGCTGAATTGGCTTTTTTTTAATTGTTTTTTTTTTGGTTTTGGTTTTTCTCTGGTACCGGGAACCGAACTCACGACCTTGCGCTTGCCAGGCAGGCGCTTTTGCCACTGAGCTAAATTCCCAGCCCCAAGTATGCTGAATTGGGATGTGCCTATGTCCTGTGCAGATTTTCTTTCCTCCCTCCCCTCCCCTTCCATGGACATAATTTCCATCTTATCTCTTTCCTTCCCCTCCCCTTCTTGTTCTAATGCCGTTCTTCATTCCTTTTTATTCTTTTTTGTGAAGTAGACGGAGTGTTTTGGAGCATGGTTACCTAAACCATATTGCAACTAACTTACTTAATACTAGTACATTTTAATCATGAAGTTTCAAAATCAGAGAAATATTCAATAGTGATGAAGATTTTTGGGAGGAGAGATTTTCATAATATATATGGCAGGATACATGGCCGTGCAAGACTTCTTGGAAGCCTGAGTCATATTTTCCCCCAAATGAAGAAGTAATTTGTATTTTCTCAAAGTATAATGTAATTCGAGAAAAGAGCATAAACAGTGAAGCATACAAAAGCAAGCACCACACAAGCCAAGACACAGAATATTTCTAACACTTCAGACCTTATCCTCTCCCTGGGTCCCACTACTTTTTCCTCCATAGGCAAAAAAATACTATTTCAATTTCTAACCGTACAGTGTACAGCAGCTTTGAATATTATAAAAATGTAATCATGTGCATTCCTTTGTGTCCGCCTTCTTTCTTTAACAGTATTGTTGCTTAAATTTATGTTATAATTTGTTAAATATAACCTGAATATAACACACTTTATCCTCTCCATTGCTGATGGATATTTGGTCACTTCCAGCTTAGAGCAATTACAACTAATGTTGGAATAAACATCCCTACAGACGTTTCTTGGTACACATATTGTATATGATAAGGAGTGCAATTGCTGGTTCATCCGATGTGCTCAAGTTCAGCTTCAGAAGATAATGCAAAACATTTCAAAGTGGTTGTAGCAAGCGTACTATCTGTCTGTCTATCTATCTGCCTATCATCTATCCATCTATCTATCTATATCTCTCATCTATTATCTATCTATCCCTCTATCTACCCATCCATCCATCCCTCTATCTCCCTATCATCTATTGATCTATCTATCTAATCATCTATCTATCATCTATCATCTATGCATCTAATCCATCCATCCCTCTATCCCTCTATCCCTCTATCCCTCTATCCATCTATCTATCTATCTATCCCTGTTGTACAACACTGCTACTTCCATGTGACTGTGTTTTGTTACCCATTATCCAAGGTCCCTCTGTGCTTTTCACCTTTCCTTCCCAGGCTCTAGTAATCACTATAGTACATTAGGTCAACTTATTTTAAGTATCTGCATAAGACAGAATGTGCGCCATTTGTCCTTCTCTGTCAGACATATTTCACTTAACATCATGTTCTCCAGTTCCCAATGACAAATTAT